CAAAGGGTAGCAGGCGTGTCACATGGCGAGAGTGGAAACAAGAGAATGGCAGTACCAGGCTCTTTTAAACAACCAGCTTTCACGTGAATAGAGAACTCACTTGTTACCGTGAGAAAGGCACCAAGTCACTCGTAAGGGGTCTGTCTTCTGTGACCCAAACACCTCTCACTAGGCCCCACCTCCAACAATGGGGACCACATTTCAACAAGAGATTTGGAGGGGACAGACATCCAAACTGTAGCACCTCCTAAATGTAGCACCATCATGCTTCTCTAAGAAACCAGCAAATCGTTTTCAAATGCATGAGCAACTGTTCATTGCAGACTGTTTACAGTGGCCCTCAACTGGAAACAAGTTTTCTAACTAATGATCTGAAAATGATGGTGTTTCCAGTCAAAGGAATATGATGCATCCATTAAAACCATCAACACACTCAACCTGTAATCCCAGCATTTTGGGAGGCCGAGGTGAGTGGATTGCCCAAGCCTGTGGGTTCAAGACCCAGCCAGGCAACTTGGCGAGACCTCGTCTCTCCATTAAATCAAAAATTAGCCAGGTGTGGTAGCATGTGCTTGTAGTTCCAGCTACTTGGAAGGCTGAGGCGGAAGGATTGCCGGAGCCCAGCAGGTTGAGGCTGCGGTGGCCAGGAGTGTGCCACTGCATTCCAGCCTGCATGATGGAGTGAGACTCCAACTCACACACAAAAAAAATCCCATCAACACGAAAACCACTCAGTCACATGGCAAAATACTTACGATCAAGAAAAAAATAGGTTGCCTGTGGTAGTTCATGCTTGTAATCCCAGCACTTTGGATTGCCTGGGCCTAGGAGCCATGATTTTGGTGATCCATGATCATGTCACCATATTCCAGCCTGGGCAACACAGTGAAACTACAACTCAGGAAAAAAAAAAAAGGAAAGAGGCTGGGTACGATGGTTCATACCTATAATCCTAGCACTTTGGAAGGCTGAGGTGAGAGGATTTCCTGAGCCCACAGGTTTGAGACCAGCCAGGGCAACTTGGCGATACCTCATCTCTACAATAAATTTTTTAAAAATTAGCCAGGCATGGTGGTGCATGCCTGTAGTTCCAGCTGCTTGGAAGCCTGAGATGGAAGGATCGCCTGAGCCCAGCCGGTCAAGGCTGCGATGGCTGTGAGTGTGCTACTGCCACTCCACTCCAGCCTGGGTGACAGAGTGAGACTCCAACTCAAAAAAAAAAAAAAGGGAAAGAAAGAAAGAAACAGGAAGGCAAATAGTCCAGTCCAGGGCAGTCCCTGTACTCTCATTTGGCAGTCAGGCCAAAACTTCCGCCCCCACTCCCCATCAAAACAGAGTGGGCAGAAAGGGAGGTGGCGATGAGGATGAGGATGGTGGGATAATGGGCAAATGTTTTTCTCCCTTCACAAGAGACTTCAGTGTCTTTACTTTAAGCTGCTATCTGCAAACCAGAGTTGCTGCAGTGAAGTCAAACAAAGGACTGATTGGAATCTTCTGGGGAGAATCTCTAGGAAGCTGCACAGAAAACCTCACCGCAGATCTCATGACAAGGGCAGGTTCCAACTTTCCTTGCAAAGCTCTTCTTGGTTTTCAGGAGGTGGCCCAAGGTGCCACATGGCTGTTTATTCTGTCTGGCATCTGGGTCATGGTGTAGTTATCTGATGTGCATTTCACAGTGCACCGGGAACTCATGTCCACGCCAGGCAGCCCGCCCACCTGGGCACCCATGATAGGGCCTGGATCTCACTCAGGTTGTTAATCAGTTAGCAAGGCCCGTGGTTGTGTTATCTTTGTTCCTCTGGCAGAATCTTGTCTTGAATGGAGTGCCAACCCCCGTGTGACACACACAGTTATCCTGAAGAAACCAGGATCCATCTTACAACTGGGTTTCCAGGCACACAGCAGACTTCCTGGCTATTCATTCCCCCCACCTCTTGGGAGCTAAATGCCCTGCAAACAGGAAGTGCTGACTTAATGTTTGTTCTCCAAATTGCTGTACTGAGCCTAGTGTTCTCTTCTTGGAAAACCAGACCCCAGAAATTTTGGAGGGATTACCTGCCACAGTGCGTTGTTTAGGGAGTCAGGTGTGGAAAGAGGGGTGAGTAGAGTGCAGAACCCCCAAACTATGGCCCTTTAAATAGCCTGAAGACCTTGGAATGGCCTGTGCCTTGGTTTCCTCATTTACCAATGTGTTCATTAATCGCTAACTCTTTAAGCAGTTTGATGTTACAAGCATTTGCTGACTAGCTCCTCTAGAGCCTGTGAGGAAATTCAGAGTGAAATGCCACAGTTCCTGCCCTCAGAAACTTCACTGCAAATAATACCTGTAATTTAAATTTTTTAATTTTTCTTTCTTTTTTTTTTTTTAGTCACGTTCTCACTCTGTCCCCATGCTGGAGTACAGCGGCACAATCACAGCTTGCCACAGCCTGGGCCTCTGGCGCTCAGGTGATCCTACTGCCTCAGCCTCCTAAGTAGCTGGGACTACAGGCGTGCCCCACCACATCTGGCTAATTTTTTGATTTTTTGTCAAGACGAGGTCTTGCTATGCGGCCTAGACTGATCTCAAACTCCTGGACTCAAGCAATCCTCCCACAGTGCTGGGATTACAGATATAAACCACTGTGCCCGGCCAGACAGTCAAGCTGTAATCCCTGCACTGCACGTCCATTTTAGAGGAGAACACTGAGGCTCAGGGAAGGGAAGTGGCTTGTCCAAAGTCACATAGATGACAGGAGAGGGAGCTGGGATTAGAATAGAGGTGGGTTGGGCTCCCAGACTCTCCCACACCTGGGCCCTTCCAGTCCCTGGCAGAGACTCCTCACAGCCTTTTGGTATCCATTTTCCAATCCTTCTTTAGCATCAAAACCCATGTATAGCTGGCACACGGTAGCTCAGCCTAAAGCCTACATTTCCAGACCTCCCTTCCAGCTGGATGTGGCCAGGGGGCTAGAATATAGCCAATGAGATGTAAATAGGAATGTCATGCGGAACCTCTGGAGGTCTCCTTAAAAGGGAAACGAGGGCCGGGCTCGGTGGCTCAGCCTGTAATCCCAGCACTTTGGGAGGCCGAGGTGAGTGGATTGCCTGAGCCCGCGGGTTCGAGACCCGCCTGGGCAACTTGGCGAGACCTCATCTCTACAATAAATCAAACATCTGCTGCACCTGCCGGGCGTGGTAGTGCGCACCTGTAGTTCCAGCTACTTGGAAGGCTGAGGCAGAAGGATCGCCAGAGCCCAGCAGGTCGAGGCTGTGGTGGCCGTGAGCGGCTATTGCACTCCAGTCTGGGTGACAGAGTGAGATTCCAACTCAAAAAAAAAGGGAAAAGTGATGGCCTGCAAATAACACTTGTTTAATTTTTTTAAAGGGAGTGTGGGGGGTGCCATCCTCCTACCTTCCTCTTTCTGGCTGGCTGAACCTGGACAGAATGGCTGGAGTCCAAATAGCCATCTTGGACCACAAGCTACACTGGTAGGGCAGCAAGATGGTGAGTCATAGACTACTCCCTCTTTTAATCATCAGCACTTCTCTATTAAGCCTTCCCTTCAGCGTTTACACAGGCTCAAGTTCCTCCCAACCTAAAAAACAAACGAAAACCCTTCCTCAACCCCACGAGCCCCTCTCTGCTCCTCTTCACAACCCATCAGCTGGGAAGGACTGCCTTTTCTTAAGGTCTCTGTGTCTCCATTTCCCAGCCATCCTCAACTCACTGCATTTGACTTCTGTCCTGCCATTCCATCTGAATCGCCCAGGACACAGACCACCAGACCTCTAAGTCTAATGGATTTCCTTCAGTTATCTTCTCCCGAGATCTCTCAAAAGCATCTCACATTTACCCATGCCCACCTTAGACACTCCTCACCTCCGTCCTGCTTTGTGTTCCCCCTGACTCCCAGCTGCTCATTTTCTGATGCCTTTGCAGGCTTCACCTCTGCTCTCAGCTCTAGTACCTTCTATCTAATGACCAACCTGACTTCTAGCATGTCTCAAAAACACTTCAAACCCAACATGTCCAAACTGATTTCATGGTTGTTCTCTTCTCCCTCCCCCCAAACCTAGTTTTTTGTGTGTGTGCCAGAAATCTAGGAGAATCTGACACAGCTCTTCCCACCACCATCCACAACTGAGCCATGATCAAGCCCTGACAATTTCATCTTCTAAATAAAATCTACCCACTGCCATCAATCACCTCTTGCCTAAAATTATTACAATTCCTTCATTGGTTTTCCTGTCTCCACTCCAATCCCCCTAAAAGTCTGTTTTGTTCACAGTAGTCAAAGGGATCTTTCTACCAATGGGACTCTGTCTCAATGGCTGGCTTAGAAGTGAAAACTTCCTTCTGTCCTCCAGATGAATAGCCAAACTCTTGCCTGGGGCAAACTTAGTCAGAGTTGGCTCCTACACCCTATTCATTTCCCTGCTTCTCCATTTGTGTTCCATGCTTCTTGAACCTACAGACTCCCTTCCCCAGGGCCTTTGCACTAGCCCCACCTGGCCAGCTTTTTGATGTTGCCAGTTAACGCCACTCCCAGGCCACCACCCATAAACTTCTCTTCCTAGCGTTGAGAACCATTTGGACTGTCTTATGTATGTGAACGCTGCCCTCCCTAATTAAAATGTAAGCTTTCTGAAGGCCTGTCTTGATCGCTGCAGCACCCACTGGAGGGCCTGGCACGGTCACCCAAGGAGCGTTTGTTGAGTGAGTAATTCACTCAACAAATGTCCCTACCGTGTTCATAAAGAACCTTAACCTGGAGCCTTAGGCGCCCATCTGAAAGGCAGCCTGGAGAAAGTGCGCAGATAAAAACAGGCGAGGAGCAGTCCGGTGACGCCCTTGAAAGGGCTCTGCATCTTCCCTTTCAGCTCCACAAGAGAAAAGGTGGAGCGGCGCGCCTGCGCACTCGCTCCGCCACGGCGCCACGGCCCCACGCCCGTTCGGCCGTGGGGTGGCGCTGGGCGCATGCTCCCTGGCAGCACGGTCCTCCGCGCCTCCCTCAGGCCGCTCTAGCCGTCTTTCTCGCTGCTCTGCCTGGAGGCGGGCCCACCCGCAGGGTCCCACCAAGATGGCGGCGCAGAGGAGGAGCCTGCTGCAGAGTGTGAGGAAGCGGCCCGCTCTCTGGGATGGGGGTTGGAAGCCTTGGGGGGGCGGGGGGCTGTCGGGTGCAAGAACGGCTCCCTCTCCGCTTTCGGACCGCCTCTCTCTCTGCGGCGGGGAGTGACCGCCCTCCTCCCCGCTTCTTGGGC